ATTTATTATTAATTAATTAAAAAATATATATTAATACTCAATAATTTAAAAAACACATTTGCATGTTCATGGTTGAATTATTTATTTTCATTTTACATTTTTATGATTTAATTAATTATTAGACTTGCATTAAAGAAAAGACCCAATCATGAAATATTGCCAATTAATGACAAACGTTTCTTGCACAAACAGGAGAAACCCAATTCCTCTCATTCTCGTGTGTTGATCGGCTGATCTTTTTCTTTGACTGTCGTCTACACATGCTATCCGTCAATGCCTCAGCGCACTGGGACGATGAGTTACGTCACTCTCGCTGTCAGCTTGTCCAACATCTCTTCCTAAACCGCAGATATCTGAAGCACACTGTGCTGCAACAATAACCGTAATGACAAACAGATCCGCGGCCGATCACAACAGAAGTGTACGGTGTCTGGTTTGCCTGAAACGCTCCGTCCAAGAGGTTTTAATCTGGGAGCAATAAAACTAATATTAACATGAAATATGAGGGATTAACGACAGTATTTATCAAACTCTTTCCAACAGGGAAAAAACAACAGAGTAGAGACAATAAAGGCCTTGACTCAGAGGGGCAGCGTTTGAAAGATACGATCCACGACTCAAATAACTGTGTGCTTATGAAATGCAAACACTGATGAGTTCAGTATCTCCTGAGGTTGGGCTTTGAAGAGAACAGCGCTGACATTTCCACTGACATTGTTAAATCACAACGTAAACGGCACAGAAATAACGGCTGCGTTCCGAATGAAATACATGCTTAGTATGCTTAGTACTTACTGAATAATACACAGTATATACTGTATACAGATTATTATTGTTTCAAAAAATAGCAAGTGAAATAATTGCATGCCACATTGTCATCAGCAGTGTTGTTATCGTTACCTTAAACTAAAACTATTAAAAACGTTTTCGGTAATTGAAAAAGAGGGAAAAAAGAAAAAGAAAATTAAACTTGAAATGAGAATGAGAAATGTTGCTTTGACCACTAACTGAAATAAAATAAGACTAAATAAAATAAACTAAAATGACTAAAAATTCAATAAAAAAAAAGCTAAATATAAATACACAAATATGTATACTAATACTAAAATATCATCTGTTGTCACATGACACTGCGTATGAGTGGTATCCAGTTATTTAATTATGGTAATTAAATAGTTTTTTCACAATTGTGATCTTAAAGGAACACTCCACTATTTTTGAAAATAACATTTTCCAACTCCCCTAGAGTTAAACAGTTGAGTTTTACCGTTTTCGAATCCATTCAGCCGATCTCCAGGTCTGGCGGTAGCACTTTTAGCTGTAGCTTAGCATAGATCATTGAATCTGATTAGACCGTTAGCATCTCGCTCAAAAATGACCAAAGAGTTTCTATATTTTTCCTATTTAAAACCTGACTCTTCTGTAGTTACATCGTGTACTAAGACCGACGGAAAATGAAAAGTTGCGATTTTCTAGGCCGATATGGCTAGGAACTATACTCTCATTCTTTAACTCTAGGAAAATGAGCCTATTTTCAAAAATAGTGGAGTGTTCCTTTAACTTTTAATATTCCAATCAAATAATATTTATACCTATATTTTTCTCACATTTTTTAATAACTAAAATGTTTTTAATAACTGAAATAAAATACATTTAAATACTAAAATATTTTTTTAATTAAGCTTAAATATTAAAAATCAATATTTCTAATAAAAATGAGAAAAATCACAAGAACTTACTTTAAAAAAAACTACAATAAAAAATTAACATATAAAAATAAAAGTAAACTCAAAATATTAATAAATACTATAATAATATAAAAATAATACTAAAATATCACTGGTTGTCATATGACCCAATCACATTGCATATGAGTGGCATCCAATGAATTATGTATATTAAATTAAAAGTTATTTTTACAACTCTGATTTAATTTCGTGTAGAAAGATATTGATTTTTAATATTCCAATCAAATCATATTTATATATAAAAAAATCGCATTTCCAAAAAAAAATAATAATAATTTAATAGCTGAAATAAAATCGGTTTAAGTACTAAAATGACTAAAACTGAAATAAAAAAGCCAAATATAAAAAATATAAATATTTATAATGAAAAAGGACAAACGTATATAACAAATGTACTAAAACTAAACACATAAAAATAAAAGTTGACTCAAAATATAAATAAATACTATAATAGTATATAAATGATGTTGTCACATGAGCTCATTACATTAGCATGTGACTGTATTGCTGAAGCGCTGTGTTGTGATCATGTCTCACCTTTGGGTCTCTGGATGCAGGTGTGCTGGTTGTCGGACAGAAGAAATCCGTCACGGCACCGACACTCGTAACTCCCCATCATGTTAACACAGATCTGCTGGCATCCACCGTTTCCTTCCGCGCACTCGTCAACATCTGATGGAGACACAGATGTACACAGATATTATAAATCTTCTTGCAATTCTGACTTTGTCTCGCAATTCTGACTTTTTGTCTCGCAATTGACTTTACGCAGTGCCGATAGATTTCTGGGGCCCCTACACAAAACTGTGTCGGTGGGAGGGGGAGGGGGGTGCGTTGGAGTGGGGTATGAGTGGTTATGAACGAATTAATGAAACGCATTTGTCCGTGTTTCACTCCATCTCGAATCGCGCTCGCGGAAAGCGCTTGAGAAACAGTGTCTCTTCCGCGGCTCGGTACGCTTTCAACTCGTTTTTTTAGTCTCGAGCAAGACTGTACGACATTCACATTACATGATTTGACTGATTTTTACGTAGAAAGGGCGACAGCACGGTGCATTAAAAGAAATGATCATTCATGTTTTCATAACCGCTGGCCAAATTCAAAAACGAAACTAAAATTAAATCATCTTTGAGAGCAAGGGGGCCCCCTGGTGTTTCGGGGGCCCTACGCAGCTTGCGTACTTTGCGTATAGGGAGGATCAGCTCTTACTTTACGCCACGCAATTCTTACATAATGTCTCAATTCTGACTTTACATCTTGCAACTCTAACTTCATGTCTCGCAAAACAGTTATACATTTTTATTTTTCAGTATTCGCAGACAAATAGAAACTTCTAGGGGTGTAACAGCTCAAGCTTCTCACGGTTCGGTACGTATTGCGGTTTTGAGGTCACCGTTTCGGTTCGGTTTTGGGTGGGGACATAGCTATTCTTAATGTGGTATTAGAAATTTCCACAAGAATACTCTATTATTTGTTAATAAATACTTGAACAGTTTGCCTTAACTTAAAAAAAGCTTTTTTTTTTATTTCTAAATAAACTTTTTAATTAAAATACCTATGTTACACCCAAAGCTAATTTATTAAAGAACAAATATTTTAAAATGCATAGCTGTATGCTCAACATTGTGTGCCAGAAATATTGTGCTCCAGGGTCACATATTATAAACAGCACTTTTAACATAATAAAAAAAGGAACAAAGTTTGAAAGTAGCACGACATGGTAAAATCACAAATTTTAGATAAATAGAAACAAAAGCAGAAAATAAGTGTCAACGGGTCAGAGATAGAATTTTCCGCAGGAACACGTTCATTTATTTTTTCTGCAAATGTATGTATTATTATAATCCCATTACATTTAATGTTCTTAACAGAAATAAAATTCAAGGTAAATGTGAAGTCTGACAACTAATATAATATATATTAAAAAAACATATTTCAGTAAATATACTGTAATCGCATTCCTTTCATGTAACGCGCATGGTTATGTCTTAAGTTTATCCGTGACTCGATTGCTGAAAAAATTAATTGTTTGTGAAATAGAACCAATCATTTGTTAATAAATACGTGAACAGTTTGCCTTAACTTAAAAAAAGCTTGTTTTTAAATTTCTAAATAAACTTTTTAATTAAAATACCTATGTTACACCCAAAGCTAATTTATTAAAGAACAAATATTTTAAAATGCATAGCTGTATGCTCAACATTGTGTGCCAGAAATATAAATATGTGACCCTGGACCACAAAACCAGTCATAAGGGTCAATTTTTCGAAATTGAGATTTATACATCATCTGAAAGCTGAATAAATAAGCGTTCCATTGATGTATTGTTTGTTAGGATAGGACAACATTTGGTCGAGATACAACTATTTGAAAATCTGGAATCTGAGGGTGCAAAAAAATCAAAATACTGAGAAAATCGCCTTTAAAGTTGTCCAAATAAAGTTCTTAGCAATACATATTACTAATCAAAAATGAAGTTTTGATATATTTACAGTAGGAAATTTACAAAATATCTTCATGGAACATGATCTTTACTTAATATCCTAATAATTTTAAGTTTGAAAGTAGCACGACATGGTAAAATCACAAATTTTAGATAAATAGAAACAAAAGCAGAAAATAAGTGTCAACGGGTCAGAGATAGAATTTTCCGCAGGAACACGTTCAGTAACATATTACTGTCATTTATTTTTTCTGCAAATGTATGTATTATTATAATCCCATTACATTTAATGTTCTTAACAGAAATAAAATTCAAGGTAAATGTGAAGTCTGACAACTAATATAATATATATTAAAAAAACATATTTCAGTAAATATACTGTAATCGCATTCCTTTCATGTAACGCGCATGGTTATGTCTTAAGTTTATCCGTGACTCGATTGCTGAAAAAATTAATTGTTTGTGAAATAGAACCAATCGCATTGATTGATTGATTGATTTACTATTTGTACCGCGGTATGTATTGTGGGTGGTGTATCGCGGTTTTTCACTTGGGTTTGAATATTTTTTACAACACTAGAAACTTCAAAAGAACAGCATTTATATGAAATAAAAATGTTTTGTAGCATTATCATTGTCTTTACTGTCACTTTATCAATGTAATGCATCCTTGCTGAATAAAAGTATTAATTTCTTTAAAAAGAAGAAAGAAAGAAAGAAACAGTATAATTAATATTTCAATTATAATACTATAACACATTTATTGAAACGAAACAGCAAAAATGGCTTGTTCAGAAATCATCACAACTACAAATGTGATTGTTTGTTGTTAACTCATTTCACATGCAATGGGAGCAGCCAATCATAACAGAGCTCATTTGCATATAGAAGGTAGAGTGAAAAAGTCACTTTTTGTGCACAAAATCTATTTGTGGTGTTGATATGCGACTCACTCATCATCCTTGCTGAATAAAAGTATTAATTTCTTTAAAAAGAAGAAAGAAAGAAAGAAACAGTATAATTAATATTTCAATTATAATACTATAACACATTTATTGAAACGAAACAGCAAAAATGGCTTGTTCAGAAATCATCACAACTACAAATGTGATTGTTTGTTGTTAACTCATTTCACATGCAATGGGAGCAGCCAATCATAACAGAGCTCATTTGCATATAGAAGGTAGAGTGAAAAAGTCACTTTTTGTGCACAAAATCTATTTGTGGTGTTGATATGCGACTCACTCATTTTCGAAGAAAACCTCAGAAACAGACGCTGTTAGATCATTAATCAGCAGTGTTGGGGAAAGTTACTTTTAAAAGTAATGCATTACAATATTGCGTTACTCCATAAAAAAGTAACTAATTACGTTACTTAGTTACTTTTTATGGAAAGTAATGCGTTATGTTACTTTTGCGTTACTTTTTAAATCTGGACAGGGCTTGCTTGTTTGTTTTTAAAATAAAAAAGTTATATTTTTGGCAAATATAAAAGCCTTTTCAAACCAAAAGTGAAATGAATAAGCCTCAGGCTGAAGGAAAAGTAAATTTACATCTGTATACAGTAGAATGCAGAAGAAGAAATTTCAACACACTTCAACAAT